GTATTGTGCAGGAGAAGCTGGTATGCTTTATCGGAGAGCTAAACACACACCTGGCTCCTGAGTCAGAGAAGCTGAAGGAGGAGATTCCAGGGGAACTAGAGAAGTTACAGCCTATGTGTGTTCTCTCAGAAATCACAGAAGCTGGCCAGATGTGGTGGCTCATGCAGGTTATCACAGCACTTTGGGAGGCTGAGGTGGGTGGATTGCTTGAGGCCAAGAGTTTGAGACCAGCCTGGCTAACATCATGAAACCCTGTCTCTACTAAAAATATAAAAATTAGCTGGGCGTGGTGTCATGTGCAGTCCTAGCTACTGGAGAGGCTGAAGCAGGAGAATCACTTGAACCCAGGAAGCAGAGGTTGTAGTAAGACAAGATCGCACCCCTGTACTTCAGCCTGGCGACACAGCAAGACTCTGTCCCTACTACCCCCCTCCCCGACACAAAAAGGGAAATCAGAGAAGCTGAAAGAGGGACTTTAGCAGTTGCTTTGGGCTCAGACATGCCTCATGCCAAAGTTGAGGGCCAGGAGAGAAGAGACAACACACCTAAGCAGCAACCACTCCTAGTACCCTCCTCTGATCTTCTGGGCCTACGAAGATGAGCGCAGCTGCTTCACTTCTGCCTCCCAAGTTTCATGCAAAATATCTCTGGTGGTCCATGCTAACCCAGCCTATTTGGAATAGAGACGGGAATTCTAGAGATTCTAGTTCCAGCTTAGCTAGGCTGGCAGTGTACCAATCCATCACAAGCCTATATCTTAACGGGGATAATAATACCTAACTCACAGGATTGTTGGGAAGAATAAATGAGATAATCCATGTAAACATATCTAGCACATAGCAGATAATCAATAATTTTTTTCTTCCTTTCATATACCCTTTGGCCAAGGAATAGCACAATTTCAGGCATTGGAGTCTGTGGAAAAGGTTTTATGTATTTGTTTTTTGGGGGAGGGTGCTGTGGGGCTGTGAGGATACCTTTTAAAATTATTAAAATGATTGTATCAGATTGCAAATTACCTATTATAGCTATATTTGAGGATGACTCTGTCTGAGGATGTGGAAGATAAACTGAATGCCCCATACCATTGAAGTTGCATTTAGCATGCATACATATATAGACAATAAAAACAGATGGAAAGAAATTACATAAATTGGAGGAAAAAAGTTTATTTTATGAAGTCAGAGTCAAAGAATGTCAGAGCTGGTAGGAGCTTAGGAGCGGGTCAAATAGTTCAATACCTAATTTTCACAGATGATAAACTGAGGCTCGGAGAGGAGAAGTAAATTGGGTAAATTCATTACTTGTTTGGTCCAGAAACATTTATTATAGGATGTGTTTTAGAATCGTATAGAACTTATTAAATATATTGTAAGGATATTGTTGAAGACTTCATAGACTTTATTATTCAGTGTCTTCCATATACATCCCCACATGAGAAATTTTAGAACTAAGTGCCTGGAAAAGCTTTGAGGAACCTGAGGAACTGGTATGGTTTTAGTCTTTGTAGACAATAGAAATCTGGTAAATGATCATGAGGAAACATGACGATTTTGCTTTGGCTGCCAAGATGTTCAGAACCAAATTTGTAGCCCCAACTTTACTAACCATGCAGGTCTCTATGGGCCTCAATATCGATGTCTTACCTTTGCCTCTGGCTTTGTTGCTTTTTTTCTGCTTGTCTTGATTTTTAATTAATATTGTGTATATATATATATATATATATATATATATATATATATATATTTTTTTTTTTTTTTTTTTGAGATGACTCTTGCTATGTCGCCTAGGCTGGAGTACAGTGGTGCAATCTCGGCTCACTGCAACCTCTGCCTCCCAAGTTCAAGTGATTCTCCTGCCCCAGCCTCCTGAGTAGCTGCGATTACAGGCACATGCCACCATGCCCAGCTATTTTTTTTTTTTTTGTATTTTTAGTAGAGATGGGGTTTCACCATGTTGGTCAGGCTGGCCTCGAACTCCTGACCTCGTGATCTGCCTGTGTTGGCCTCCCAAGGAAATACAAAGTGCTGGGTTTACTGGCATAAGCCACCACGTGCAGCCAATATTTATATTTAATATGTTATATATGTAAGTGGCCTCGAATTCTTTGTGGCATGAGGAAGGATATAAACACATAAGTAGAAACATCCTGTATTATTTGACCTCTGTGGTACAGTGAAAAAGCACTGCGCATGGAATAAATTCTAGTCTAGGCTCTGCCATTTTAATAGACTTCTTTAAACTTCAGTTTCTTTGATCAGCTTGGATATCGTAACTTCCGGTATGATTCAGAAGTCAGCCTTTTTAAAAGAGTATAGAGGTCTTTAAAACCTGGTGTGACCGTCCGATATATAAAGAGTGTTTTGGGGAACTTGACTCTCAGTTAAGAGATTCGGGGTGACTTGAAAGGAGATTTTACTCAATTCTGGATAAGAAACCAGAGTTAGATCAAGTTTTTAGATTGGTGAGAGAACAGTACACAAAGTAGAAATGTGTACATTTATTTATTTATTTTGATTTTTAATATTTTTAATTTAAAAAAGTATATGGTAAAATGAACTTTTTGGTGAGTATGCATTCTATGAGTTTTAACGTATGTATAGATTCACATCACCACCACAAGCAGGATACAGAACAGTTCCATGTCTCCAGAAAACTCCCTCTGGCTCTCCTTTTATAGTCAAACTCTCCTCCCACACATATGCCTTGATTTTATTTATTTTAAAATGTCCTCCCCAACATTTTATGAGAATAGATTAAGAAAAAATTTGATCCAACCATTCACTTTGTAGAGTTCCTAGTGTATGCTCCCCACTGTGATAGGTTCTGCCGACTGTTTAAGGGGTATCATATGTGGACCAGGTCTTCAAGTATGTTATGGTGTGGTTGGCAAGATCAGCTTAATAACTTGGAAACAATTGGAGGAGCCTATAAGACACCGTGCAAGCAAGTGCTAAATTGGTACAGATCAGAAGATGGGGAAACATCTGTCTATGTTTGACTATAGGTTTCTGCAACTGAATGACACACTACTTGTATATTGTATGTATCTTTCTGTGTGAGAACAGACTGAAATGTATTTAGAAATGTAGAGTTAAGTTTCACCTCTAAAAGGGATATATTAGTCTAAACAGATGAAAGAGAAATCACGATTGTGAGACTATTTACAAAAGTCTTCAGAATCTATAGTCAAGTAAGTCTACCTAAGTGCAAAAAACTTTTATTTTTATAAGATGTGGGAAACAGATGATTGCCAAATGGCTTTGCTCTGTGTCCAGAGAAATTTAACGAAGCTGACAGCCAGATATCTATTGCAGAAGTCTGACTAGAGTTTTCCATTATGAATACGGCACATGTGAATTCTGAACATATGGCTCTCATCAGTGATCTATGAGGAGGTGATGGAATGTAGGTTGGTGAAGACAAGAGGAAGGCCAAGTCTCTGACTCTAAAGTGAGAGGCAGCTGGACCCCATATGTGTGTGTGTTTAGACTTAGAGCCAGCTTTATGTCAAGGGAGTAGGCAGTCACCCAAGCCTCATGATTTGTAGGGTATGGAGAAAGGATCTTCCTTTGCCAAATTCTTTCCCTACAGGCAAACCCCAAAGCCTGAACTTTCCATTAGAGAAAGAAACAACATATTGTGTCTTCCAAAGCCCCTCTTTGAAGTACAAGGAGCTGGGTAGGGGAAGGGACACTAACTGATTAAGCTGGAAACAGCTATCAGAGTGTTGATGTGGAGCAGTTTATCTAATAGTGAAACTGGAGGGAAGAGTAGGACCCATGGAATGGGGTAGGTCTCTGTGTCTGTGGGTATGTGCATGAGTGTCCATGTACACACATGCTGGGAGTCAGTGTGAAAAGTTGACCCCCATACACATGAGAATGATAATATTTAGTTCACATTTACATATTTCAGCTCATTTGCTACATGCTGAGTGCCTGCAGTGTTTTTCTCTCCAAGGTGGCAGGCCTCCCTGGTATCAACCAGGATACAAGTTACAGCAAAGATTGGTTAAGAATCAGTTAAGAAGATGACCTTCTGAGGTACCCTTGGCCTGAATATCTCAAAGGGCCTTTTAAGACAACTTCCAGCCAGCCGGCACAGAAAGTGGGGGTAAAGCCAGGAGTGTGAAGCCCATGACATGAATGGAGAGAATAGCTATTAGAGAAGTTGTTGCTTCTCTAAAAATAACCTAGATATTGGGCCGGGCATGGTGGCTCATGCCTGTAATCCCAGCACTTTGGGAGGCCAAGGCTGGTGGATCTCTTGAGGTCAGGGGATTGAGACCATCCTAGCTGACATAGTGAAACACTATACGAAAAATACAAAAAATTAGCCGGGCGTGGTGGCATGCGCTTGTAGTCCCACATACTCAGGAGGCTGAGGCAGGAGAATCACTTGAACCCAGAAGGCAGAGGTTGCAATGAGCTGAGATCATACCACTGTACTACAGCCTGGGCAACAGAGTGAGATGCTATCTCAAAAAAGAAAAAAACCACCCTAGCTATTTAGGGTACAAGCAGGACTGTTGGGTGTGTATGATGAGAGCCAAAAGCCCCACCCTTTCCACACAAATGAGGTGATATTAAGAGCAGAACTTTCTGACCATGTCCTTTAAACCTGATACCCTAGGTATAGTCCTGCCTTGCATCCTGAAAACTGTCCTTACTTCTCAACAAAATTGCCTCTGGAGTCCTCTTTCCAAGCTATTTTTTAGCAATCAGTGCAAACTTGCTAAGCTGGGAAAACACATAAAGCTTATTTTTCTTTTGAAAATTAAGGAAAATATATTCTAAAAAGCTATGAAGATGTGCAAGATCTCACTAAATGTTGGATTTGACTATTTAAAATGTGCAAGACTAATCAGTTCAGAGGATTGTCCATCCCTTAGAATGTGGAAGAGCATTGGACCTACTGAGAAAAAGCTTTACAAAACTTAAAATCTAGTGCCAAAATGTTTGCTGGGTTTATTGGTACCTTGCCATAAAAGCATTAATTTTCTCACAATTCTGTGTGATTTTTGGTAATTTTATAACTGAGCCTTTTGTATTAAAAAGGCAAGTACTTGCTTTTCCACCCACTCTCCCCTCCTCCGGAGCACCACTCACTCTGAGCTTCAGACTTTTGCTAAGCTAGTGCCACCATCGTCTTCAGCCACCATCATGATTATCTATTGGGACCTCATTAGCCACCATGAGATGTTCTCCAACATCTACAAGGTCCGTGAGATGGAGGACAGGCTGTGCCTGGAGGTGGAGGGGAAGATGGTCAGTAGCATAGAAGGTAACACTGATGACTCGCTCATTGGTGGAAATGCCTCCGCTGAAGACCCTGAGGACAAAGGTACTGAAAGTACAGTAATCACTGGTGTTGATATTGTCATGAGCCATCAACTGCAGGAAACAAGTTTCACAAAAGAAGCCTACAAGAAATACGTCAAAGATTACATGAAATCAGTAAAAGGCAAACTTGAAGAACAGAGACCAGAAAGAGTAAAACCTTTTATGACAGGGGCTGCAGAGCAAATCAAGCACATTTTTGCTAATTTCAAAAAACTACCAGTTCTTTACTGGTGAAAACATGAATCCAGATGGCATGGTTGCTCTATTGGATTACTGTGAGGATGGTGTGACCCCTCCATATATGATTTTCTTTAAGGATGGTTTAGAATGGAAAAATGTTAACAAGTTTGGCAATTACTTTGGATCTATCACCTGTCATCATAACTGGCCTCTGCTTGTCATCCATCCAACACCAGAACTTAAGACAAATGGGACTGATGTTACCTTGAGCTCTTCATTTATTTTGGCCATGATTTATTTGGAGTGGAGATATTGTTTTTAAGAAAAACATGTCATGTAGGTTTTCTAAAAATAAAATTCATTTAAACTCGTTTGAGAGAATGCCTTTTAGTTTAATACATATTTTTTTTTTTTTAATTTTTTATTGGATTATAGGTTTTGGGGTACATGAGCAGAGCATGCAAGACAGTTGCGTAGGTACACACATGGCAGTGTGCTTTGCTTTTCTTCTCCCCTTCACCCACATTTGGCATTTCTCCCCAGGCTATCCCTCCCCACCTCCCCCTCCCACTGGCCCTCCCCTTTTCCCCCCAATAGACCCCAGTGTTTAGTACTCCCCTTTCTGTGTCCATGTGTTCTCATTTTTCATCACCCACCTATGAGTGAGAATATGCGGCGTTTCATTTTCTGTTCTTGTGTCAGTTTGCTGAGGATGATGTTCTCCAGATTCATCCATGTCCCTACAAACGACACGAACTCATCATTTCTGATTGCTGCATAATATTCCATGGTGTATATGTGCCACATTTTTCCAATCCAGTCTATTATCAATGGGCATTTGGGTTGATTCCAGGTCTTTGCTATTGTAAACAGTGCTGCAATGAACATTCGTGTACATGTGTCCTTATAGTAGAACGATTTATAGTCTTTTGGATACATATTTAAACTGAATTCATCCTGTAGTGTCCCTGGAGAAGCTAGAGCCTGGTTGTAAGCTACTATTGGAAAGAATAAGACTCATCAATTAACTTCTACAGTGGAAACTACTTCTGGGACTAGAATATAAAAAAGAATCAAAGGTTTTGATTGTGAATTGCAATGAAGGGAAAGACCATGCTCACAGCAGTACCACCTTCTGAAGTGGAGCCTTACACATTTTATCACCTATAATGGAAGTAGTTAACTGGAAGAGATTACCAAGAGAATAAAAAGAGACTAATTCAGTTGAAAAAAAAAAGGCAAGTACTTTGCAGATTGGTTTGGGGTAGAGATAACCAACAAAACCCCATGTGGGTGTGGTATTGGCTTTTCTGAGTTCACTGTTGAATGGAAAATTCAGACTATTTCTCAGCCTGAGTCATCTGAAAAAATTGGATTTGCTAATTTGCAGGTGGAAAATTTAATGTGCCTGTTAATTTCTTCAGATGATGACATTTAAAGGTGAAAGTGATAATGGTGCTGGGAAGGTGTACTTGGGGATCATGGTCTTTATGGTCCTGGGGCAGAGCTGCCGTTGAGGTCAGGTGAATTGGCTTTGGTCAAAGGGCAGAAGCAGGGCTCCAGTATAATTTCCCTTTAGATTGATAATGGAATTTTCCCATTATAACTTGTGGACATATGATGTATTGGAGATTCATAAGTAAAATTTTGGGCCCTGAGAGCTACTTTCTGCTGGCTGAATTAGTGTTTGTAACTTTTGAATGGTATCTAGGAATGGGGACACTACCAACTTTCTCAGTAGCCTGTCCCATTTTTAGAGAGGTCAAGAAACTCTCATTTCTAGCCATGCCTCTCATACTTAAATCTACCCATTTCATCTTGGTCAGTGTATCATTTACATGAGAGTAACTTCTGAGCATTGTTCTATTCAAATCCCTTCGTGGATGACTGGACCACACTCCTCAACTCTTCTGTAGGCTAAATAACTTTCTATAGTGATAATGTAGACCTTTCTCAATTCACTCAAGAAGAAATGAGTCTTCAGCCTTCTTGCTTTTACAGTAATAATGATAGCAATATCAATAGCTAATAATTGTCATTTCTTTTTGGAAAAAGCTGACATTTATGGAGTGCTTACTAACTGCCAGATATTGTACTAAGGATTTTACATGTATTGGTTCATTTTAACTTCCTGATAACCTAATGGGGGTAGAAGTTACTATTTTGCTGTTTTAAAGATTAGGAACTTGAAAGTGAGAGTTAATTTGTCCAGGTTCATACTGTAAGTTTAACCAGTATCTCTCTATGGTGCTCTATGGATTCCCTGATTATTGAAATTATTCTGGCTTTTTTGTATTTATTTTTCATATATGTCTGTGTACACACACACACACGCACACATACTCTAACACACATATATATACAAATATATGGGAAAATAAGTGTGGGTAAGTTTGCTAAATGCACGTCATGCTGCTTTATGCCATGCTGAGATACTAACATCTTTAAAGGAAAGAGTAGCTGACCTTCATCTGTACTGAAATTATTCCCTTAGGAATATTTCATTTCTCTTTTCCATTAATAAGCTGCCTTGAAGAGCAAATTAGTTCTAGGAAGGATGCTACATTAAGTTTCAAAGTGCTAGAGCCAAAGGAATTTTAATATTTTCACCTTTATTCTATCCGCATATGTTGTAGATGATAAAATTTTATAGCAGTTCCTACTCTGTGCATTGCCTCTCAGTCCTAGGGGCTGTCAGGTGATGGCTAAGAGGAACCACAGCATATCCCCAAATGAATAGAATACTGTATAGGCCACTTTGTAGCCCTTTACTGTCTAGTAGGAGAAATAAGCATAAGCCTATGTTGTATGTGGGAACAAACCATGTTGCGTGTGCTATCTGTGTACTAAGTACATTTTCAGAGTTGCTCTTGGTTATTGGAGGAGAGAGTGAAGGGTACATTTTCAGGGGATTTAATAGTGCCTAGAAGTTCAGAAATCCAGGATGTGGCATTTGGTTTCAGATTTGAAGTCAAGGAACCAAGGAAGAGTAGAGGAATTCCTGAAGTAGGATTCATTAGTTTTGTATCCGAATTGAGCTACCGGTCACAGATTGGCACTGCTGTGTGCCATGACGGGCTGGAGGTGTGGCAAGACCTGGATCTTAGGAAGATCAGCAAGACCTGGACCCTAAACCTGTCTTTGCTATTTTGGAGGTGTGCAACCTTGGGCAAGTTAAGTCTTACCTCTGGGCCTCAGTTTCTTCGCTAGTAAAGTGGGGACAAGACCATATGTACCTCAATAGGTGTGTAATGGTTAAACAGGTTAATAAATGGGAATCTGCTTTGAGTCTAGAAAGAAAATTAGAATGGTTGGCAATCACTAATAATTATATTTTATATGTACTCTAGATGAATTATTTTTAGCTTTTTTTCTTTCAGTACTAAGTCTATTACTTTCCCAAGTATGTCTCACAGTATGGAATTGAAAAATATTATTTTTAGCACATTAGAATCAAGTTTAGCCACTGATCCTATTTTGCTTCCTTCAGCCCATTTCTGAGCAGACTTGGGATGCCTTCCCCTGGTTGGGGACAAGGAATGAGTTTCTCAACTCTTTTTTTTTTTTTTTTTTTCGGAGACAGAGTCTTGCTCTGTCCCCCAGGCTGGAATGCAATAGTGTGATCTTGGCTCACTGCAACCTCTACCTCCTGGGTTCAAGCGATTCTCCTGCCTCAGCCTCCCTAGTAGCTGGGATTACAGGTATGTGGCACTGTACTTGGCTAATTTTTGTGTTTTTAGTAGAGACGCGGTTTCACCATGTTGGCCAGGCTGGTCTTGAACTCCTAAGCTCAGGTGATCCGCCCACCTCAGCCTCCCAAAGTGCTGGGATTACAGGCGTGAGCCACCGTGCCTGGCCATTAGTTTTTCAACTCTTAAATTAATGCACTGCCTTCCACTTACCTACTCATTTGGCTTTAAAGTTCATGGCTTGCCCTTAATCAATAGCTTAGGACAGTGGTCTCCAAAGTGGGAATGTATAGACCCACAGGGGTTGTGCAAGATAATCTATATGGGTGTGGAGAAAACATCAAAATTTCTAATTACTTTTTCTATTTTTTTTTTTTTTTTTAGAGCTCAGGGTCTGAAAAAACAAAACAAAACAACTCCTGGGCTCAAGTGATCCTCCTACCTCAGCCTCTGGAATAGTTGAGACTATAGGTAGATTCCACCATGCTTGGCTTACTTCCTAGTGTTTAATCTTTGAACACTGCCTCTCATTTGGATATGTGTTAGATGTGTCACATATGTTTGTCAGCACCCTGCAGAAAGAGTAGGTGTTTCATAATTCAGAGGGATTGTCAGCAATGGCCTCGCTTGTTTTTGCTTTCAGTATATTGTAAAATACTATAGTTTACCTGTGCAGAAAGAAGGCTATGGTTTACATAATCTTAAATGATAGACTCTCTTACATAGTTTGTAAGGAGATGGAGAATGATCATGGAAATCTTTTGTGCCACCCTGAGATCTCATTAGTTATCTTGAGGAAAATATTTAAAAAGTTGTTCAATAGGAATGAGTTATAATCTTTTTCTTCTAAACAAAGACAAGTGTTCCAAATTTACTGATCTTTTCTTGCTAAGTGGTTGGCAATACCCAGAAGATACTATTTTTAAAAAAAGATTTACTCTATCCCTTCAAGGCAAGTTTTAATATTGAGTGAAAAGTAAATGCTTACAAAACATATCTTCAAAATGGTTGCCGCAAAAATGTTTCTATCTTTTCTGTGGTTTTGTTGCTTTGCCATCAACCATGGAAACCTCTGGTACTTGAATAATTTTAAAAGTTGGAAATAAACATTTCTACCCTCTTTAAAGAATTTTCAAATGAAGGATTTTAACAAATTTTGATCCTATTTGTTAAAAATAGTAATATATCACATCTTCTGATTAGTTTGCAGGCACAACTGATTGACATGAGGAAATAAGAAAATTTATTTCCCAAATTATAGCAAACACATTTAAGTAACTGAAGGATGAAATAAAAAATGTGTTCAGGTTACATACTAAGCATAGACAATGATGTACTTCTGTTTGAATCTGTGTATCTTTATGAGCTCTCTTTTTCAACCAAGATATTTACTTTTATTTATTTTATTTTTATTTTTAAC